TCTGTGTACCCAGATGTCCAAGATCTTTCTTAGTGGAGATTTTAGCCTTGAGGGACGGAATCTGGTGGGTTCTTGAGATGGGTGTGCAGGACGTCGTCTTTGCAGGTGATGCCAAGGTGGTGCTTGACAAGGTGAAGGAGGGCTCGTGTTTGGATGCTCGGGGCAGTGCAATTTTGAGGGAGATCAAGGGGTTGAGGCAATGCTTTCTCCATTATAGTGTTTGTTTTGTTGGACGTGCTCGTAATAGGGTGGCCCATATGGTGGCCAAAAAAGCCCTTTCATTGTTCCCTAGTTTGATAGGGTTTGATTTTCGTTCCTAGCTATGGTCGGCTAATTGACTTTAGTGTATCTTGATTATCTCGTGCAATACTAAGTATCTTTTGGCAAAAAAAGAGTTTAAATTACTATAGATGTGACTTTTTAGTACGAAATATGAGAATAAACAAATATGCAGATTCCCGCATTATTTTTTGGACAAGTCGAGATTGATATTGTTTTTATCTAAATAATGGATATATGGTACTCAAATCTCAAATCCAAATAACTCATAATAGTTTCAATACAAATCGATTCGAAAAAAATAACCGACCTAAACTGTTTAGCTTATGAGTTTGTGCAGGAATACGGAAAACCCAAAACTCTATCAAGACGTAAAGACGCTTATCTTATGTTGGCATCATGGCATCTGTGACTGAGAATTTCATACCGAGTTACTGACCAAGGAAAACAAGACTGCTGCAAATACTGGATCCATACTTTGCACACACAAACACAAAAAATGAGGCAATGAACCATAGTCGACTAATCGTTTATCATCTTATCTACCTTGTCTCGAAGAAGTTCCTTCTATGGACTCAATTGCGAAAGTAGCTTCTCGATGTCCGCATTAGCGGAGCCACATTGATTGATGTGGGGTCAGTGGACCCCACTTGGACAGGAAACTCACGTTAAAAAAGAATGGAATACCAAGGGAGGGACTGGGGATTCGACTCATGGACCCCACATTTCCAAAGCACTAGCTTAGCCATTGGGATACCGTATTTCTTTTTAATATTTGGACCCCATTAAAATTTTTTGCTGGCTACGCCAATGGATGTCCGTATCTAAGGAGCTTTTATTTGCCCAAAACATGTATAGAGCAGATAAGAGAAATACAATAAACAATCCTCAACCCCCTTAAAAAAACAAATGTACACTACAAAATCTGAAGATACTAATTCTAAGGTAACATTAACAACGACTTTCTTGCCCTTCTATAGGAAGCTAAATTCGTGGTTCATTTTTCTTCTCTTTTTTACTTCAATTGTTTCTAAATGTTTTTCTTTCTTTTGTAGATTTCTTGCATCCATGAACAGGTTTGTGGGAAGAAGAACGCATGAGAGATAGAGAGGGGAAAGAGTGGGGCGAATTAAAAAAAAAAAGGAAAACATGTAACTTTTCGTTTTCCCTCCGATTTGGAGGGTTGGGGAAAACAGTAGATTTTCCATCCACTTTCCTTTCTCTCCCCACTGCTGCTCCCTTTAAGAACAGGGGAAAACATCTTGAAAACCCAACTTTCTTTCCATCTTTTCCCTCCCCTCCTCTTTCCCTCCTTCGGGAACATAGGGTTAAGACAACTACAAAAGAAGAGAGTAGCTGATGACACCGGTACAAAATAGGAACATCCAAGGAATCATAGCGCACACCTTGTTAGAGCTGATATATCATGTCTGAATCACCTACAACCATCACCCTAGATATTTGATGGTTAATTGCAACTAGTATAGCATCACGAGCTACAAGTAACTACACTAGGTACGAGTTCGAGCCAGGATGAAGAGATCCTCTAACATGCGTGTCTGAGACTCAAAGTACAAGCCTTGAAGAGTAGAGAACACCACGGTGAATAGCGCGTCATGTTAGGAAAATTTATTTCCTATAATGATATGGGCCACATATTTTGACAATTATATGAGCTATTTGTTTATATGGGCTAACTGAAAGTGATCCAACTAAGAGCCCAAAGACTTCTTGCATTGATATGGGCCTAAATGGGTGGAAACCCAATACTTGTTCACGTTGGGTTTTATGGGAGCCCATGTGAAACTTGTATATAAAGGTGCTAGAGGTTGTGATCCCCAATACACCAAGACCAAAATATTCTCGTCTTCTCCCCATCAGGAAGACGAGAGCTCTCCCGTAAAGGAACTATGGAGGCTTGGTTGCGGAAGGTCACAGTACCTCCTGGATCGTGCTCTAGGAGTATCGTCCAGTTCCAGATCATCTTTCAGATTCCGCATCAAGCTCTTGACGATCAACAACATGTTTCCAGGTATTTCGAAAACCTTTGATATCTGACAAGATGAATTTTCTAGTGAATTACATATGTTAAATGTAATTCTATCACGTCAAAGTTGACATTGAGGTCATCGTGGAGAAGAGGGGACCATTCAGGTGAGGCAGACATAAGAAGTGTAGGAGATAAATATATCACGAAGTCGAAAGAAGAGACCTACAACTAAAAAACGAACATGTGGTTGAATAAGCTAAAAAATCCTCCTTCTACGAACTTTAGATTGTTTATAGAAGGCAAACACACTGAAGAATCCATAATTATGGGAGCTCAAGACATAGAAGTTGTTTGTGTCACGTAACCTCCCTCTCCCGACGACTCTCTCACGCCACCGATCTCCCGTGCGCGTCCGCTTCGCGCCCCCTTCCTGTACACAAAGGCGCCCACCGAGCTCTCGGGATGGGCTCGTTAGCACTCCGACGCCCAAGTCAGAATGATCTTTCTAGAGAGAGAAGTGAGATGCAAGTTTTAGAGAGAAGTTAGAACCTGTGTAAATGAGCTCCACCCACTTCACTATTTATACTCGGGGTAGGGTCGACCAGTGCCCCCCAAATCCGCCCCAGGTCATCACCTCATTAAATGCACTGTACCTTCCTCTCCTCAGGCGCCCCGACATTCTGACACCGACCCTCGCCCTGGAGGCGCATGGCCCCACCTCTTGTCCCCTCCGTACGCTTCCGGTCGTTGTTACTCTTTTGTCGTCATGCGCCCTACCTCAGGCCCGGCCCCACCGCCTGGGCCATAGCCTCTAGCCCTTTTTTGGGCCGGGCCTCCTCTTTGCCAGGCCCACACTCCTGGCCCAAGTCGACTCCTTGGCCCCTTACTTGGGCCACTCACTGTATGCCCCCAACAGAAGTAATGCCATAAAAGACTAAAATTGGAAGTCGAGTTTTATGGAGAATGTCTCTCGAACTCACAAGCATCCAAACGATAACAATTTTGATACCCATAGAAAGATGTTAAACATTCTAATAAGAATTCATTCTTATTTTGAGTAGTTCGTCGTATATCGATACTAGGGTTGTAAATGAGTCACACTACTCACGAGTGACTTGACGTTCGATTTGAGAAAAACTCGTTGGACATTCGACTCGTTTACTAATGAGTCGAGCTCAAATTACACCTTGTTCCGCTTGTAAGGCTCGCGAGCCAGTTCGACTCGATGACTTGTTGAGTCCAATTCGTGAGCTAGCTCGTTTTGAGCTATGCGATGACTCGATAGTATGGCTAGTGAGCCTCTACAACTAGAAACTTTTGGCCGAATCGATTATTAGCATCAGTTGGCTTGTTGATAATTCATAGATTTGTTAGATTGTATATATCACCACATATAATATTTAAGACTTTTAGCAAATGACCAAATATGTCTCATTTATATTTTTGAAAGAGAAATTATGTATGATAGATTGTTTGAATACTAATCATTATTAAATAACATTATATGAACAATTAAGATTTATGAACAATGTTATGATACCTGAGCTCGAGTCGATCTCGTGAGCTGATTGATGAGTTGATTGAGCTAGAGCTCGTGAACTCATTAACTTGCCAAATTCGACTTGAGCTCGAGTCAAACCTAAGCTAACGGTTTAGTAAACAAGTTGAGTTTGAGACTCGTTTATTAACGAGCTGAGCTCAAGGTAGGTCAGAACTCGAATCGACTCATTTGCAACCCTAATCAAGACACATGGCTTGTTCTTATTTAGTTCATCTCACTCAAACTCAACCAAAATTCCTTCCCTTCCATCCGGCTTCAATTAACTGTATTATGCACACCTACTATAGACAATGGAGCAACTAGATTGAAGTTATAAGGGGCTATAACCTCGCTTCAACTTTGAAATATAGAAAAAATTACATGTAAATTTTGGACAAATTTAGTAATTAGAATAGACGATAAGGATTCAGCTTCTTCTTCCAATTACAAATGAAGGTTTTGAGTTTTGAAAATGAAGGTTTTGAGTTTTGAAAATTTTTGTTGGATTTGAAAATGAAGGTTTTGAGTTTTGATGGATTTGTTGCATTTTGTATTTGAAAGATAACATTATTTGTTTAGTTGAATTGTTATCACGGATTTAGTTCATTTTGTATTTGAGTCTAAAAAATTTGCCTTCCATAATATGGTATTTGCAAATACCAAATGAAATGTGATATTGACAAATATGTTGGGTCCACGAAACTGGAGCTACAAATTTGGTCAAAATCTATGGGTATACCTTAACAAATAATGGATTTGGTAAAAAGATATAATGGTTGGTATTTGAAAAATAAATACAACATTCAAATCCTATAAGCAAACAACATCTTAGTACTCGTTCAGATTTCTGTGGAGTAATCTCAATCATAGAATTCATGTGGTGAAAATTAGTTGATATAATTAACAAAGTTTAATCATTTAACAGTAAAATTACTTACACAGCAAAATTTAACATGCACCATTCATTGATTTATAGTTTTTATCTATTTTAAGGTGTATATTTTTCAGTTTAGAATTGATAAACAGCTGTTGTACAAATAAAATCTCCTGGAAAAAGCTGTGGGAAAAAAGCACCGGAAGAAAAGAAAAATATTTGTGGAAAAAACGTTTCGACCGCGAGCTGTCTCTGTCTGTACTCTATAGTCTGGCGAATGGCGATCATTGTCCCCAAGCTTTTTTCTTCTTCCCTCTCGGCTCTCTTTCTCTTCTCTTCCACTGCTTCTCTGCTCTCTGTCGCTTTGGTGGGTCGTTACATTTATACCAAAGCTCGGGAAGCTCGTCTTCTCGTCGGCTCCCTCCCCTCCATTCCAAATTCCAAACAATTTTTTCAGCTTGACATTTCCGCAAACATTTCGTCTGCACGGGTACAAAAACTCCAGCTCTACCAAGTTCACTCTCTCAAACCACTTCCCTTACCTTTTCTTGTCATCTCTCGCTGCTGATGCCTGATTGCGGTAGAGAGACAGAGAGAGGAGTTGGCGTTTGGTCGAGAGCATTAGTTGTGACTTGATGGGCTGCTGCCATTAAATGCCTGCTGCAAGTGAATTGGACTCGTGGCGGCCAAACGCAGCCTCGTCTACAACTACTGCTACTACAAATCCGACCACCCATTTCCTATTTATGGCGTCCACGAGTTCAACGCCCACGGACCCTTCCTCGTCGCTACCCGAGGATGCGGCGGCGAAAGCCGCCAACAGAAGGTACGAAGGCTTGGTTGGGATTCGGAACAAGGCGGTGAAGGGGAAAGGGGCGTGGTATTGGGCTCATTTGGAGCCGGTTTTGATTAGAAACCCAGACACGAATCTTCCAAGAGCAGTCAAGCTCAAGTGCTCACTCTGCGACTCCTTCTTCTCTGCTTCAAACCCTTCGAGGACCGCCTCCGAGCATCTCAAGCGAGGCACTTGCCCGAATTTCGCCTCGTTCCTGAGACCTAACCCCGCCGCGGGTTCGGTTTCGCCTCAGCCCATTTCGTCTTTGCCTTCTCCTTCGTCAACGCACAATCATCGGAAGCGCCCCTCTCATTTGGCGACTCCGCTGAATTCCGTATCTTTGGTGGACTCCAGTAGATATAGTGACGATGTTGGTGGCTATTCGAATATGGTGTTAAGCCAGCCGCCGCAGCAGCAGCAGCAGTTGGTTTTATCCGGCGGAAAAGATGATTTGGGTCCGCTGGCAATGTTGGAAGATAGCGTTAAGAAGCTGAAAAGTCCCAAGTCGTCGTCTTTTCCTTCATTGAGTAAAGACCAGATGGATTCCGCTCTTGAATTGTTGACCAGCTGGTTCTACGAGGTTTGCGGGTCAGTTTCGTTTTCAAGCATCGAGCATCCAAAGTTTCGGGCTTTTCTCCGTCAAGTTGGCTTGCCCCTTTTGTCAAGGAAAGACTTGTGTGGGCCCAGGCTTGACGACAAGTTTCTGCAGGCCAAGACTGAAACGGATGCTAGAATTAAAGATGCTATGTTCTTTCAGGTTGCGTGCAATGGGTGGAAGAGCAAAAGTTGCTGTAACGGGGAAGAAAACTGTGTGAAGTTTAGCATCAATCTCCCAAATGGTACGACTTTGTATCAGAAGACATTTTTAAATGGGGGATCAGTTTCACCAAAGTATGCTGAAGAGATTATGTGGGAAGCAGTGCAAGAAACGTGCGGCAGTGGGCTGCAGAGATGCATAGGAATAGTTGCAGATAGGTATAAAGCCAAGGCATTGAGGAATTTGGAGATTCAATATCCATGGATGGTGAATCTCTCTTGTCAGGTTCAGGAGTTTGCCAGTCTGACCAAGGATTTTGGCGAGGACCTCCAACTTTTCAGGTCTGTTACTGAAAACTGCTTGAAGGTTGCCATTTTTGTAAACAATCAAACTCAAGTTAGGAGTAGGTTTCAAAAGTACAGGATGCAGGAACTTGATTATTCCGGGTTGCTTCGAGTTCCTTCAAGCAAGTCTGATTGTCAGAAGGACTCCGTGGCTGTTTCTGTGATGCTAGAGGACATTCTAACCTGTGCCCGTGTTCTCCAGATGGTTTTCTTAGATGAATCGTACAAGACAATGTTTGTAGAGGATGCTGTTGCTAGGGAAATTGCTGGGATGATTCAAAGTGAACGGTTTTGGAATGAATTAGAGGCGGTTTATTCACTGGTGAAGCTTGTCAGAGGGATGGCTCAAGAGATCGAGGCTGAAAGACCACTCGTGGGGCAATGCCTCCCACTTTGGGAGGAAGTGAAAGTGAAACTGAAGGATTGGTGTGCTAGATTTGATGTAACTTATGGTCAAGTTGAAATAATAGTTGAAAAGAGATTCATGAAGAGCTACCACCCGGCATGGTCTGCAGCATTTATACTTGATCCAGTTTATCTGATGAAGGATGCAAGTGGAAAGTACCTCCCTCCATTCAAGTGCTTGACTCATGAGCAGGAGAAGGATGTTGATAGGGTCATTACCCGTCTGGTTTCCAGGGAAGAAGCTCATGTTGCTTTAATGGAGCTTATGAAATGGCGCTCAGAAGGGTTAGACCCACTTTATGCCCAGGCTGTTCAGGTTAAGCAGCGAGACCCATTGACAGGGAAGATGAGACTTGCAAATCCTCAGAGCAGCAGATTAGTGTGGGAGACTTGCTTGAGCGAGTACAAGACATTAGGCAAAGTTGCAGTCAGGCTAATTTTCCTCCACGCTACATCCTGTGGGTTAAATTTATCCTGCATGAAATGGTTCTCTGTCCATGGAAACTCAAAGGTCTGCATTGAAAAGGCTCAGAAGATGATGTTCATTGCAGCTCATGCGAAGCTTGAAAAATGGGATTTACAAGATGAGGAAGAAAAGGACAGGGAGCTCTTCTGCTGTGAGGATGCTATGCTGAATGAAGTCTTTGACGATGCACCATCAGTGTAATGTTTTTGTTTTCTTTGCAATAACTTGTAGAGTTATTGAACTTTAGAATTAATTGAATCTTTCACTATTTAGTTATCTTTCCATCTTTAATCCTAGATGAAGTGGGTGGTATTGTTGAGGAAACATGATAGCTACATGATTTCACCGAATCATTAGTCACTTCCCGTTAGTGTGATTGATCTGTTGAGTTTGTAAAAAGTGGATAAACGTGATTCTCTCTTGGTCCATTCATATTTTCTTCCCCCCGACGTTTTCATTTGCCACTTATTGATTGCGATTTTGGTGTAGTAGTAATAGTTTTAGCTGGAGCCTGAACTTATTTGGAGATAATCTGGAGTTGGCTCTTAGATAAGGCTTTGCTTTAGGTCTGCCGTAGAAATCTGAAGAATTGATAGCAAAGAAGCTAGCGAGTAGTGACTGAGTTATTTTGGTCTGACATCAATCTTTTGTTTAGTTAGTAAGTGCTGCATGCATGTAGTATCTGCTTTGATCTGTAAGTGTCCATGTAGCCGTTGCATGTTTATTCAGCTGTTGGGTGTAGGGGTAAAGTTGTACAGGCACTACTGAATGTCCATACAGCAAATGTTCCTTTTCTGTCTATGGGCCTGGCTTAGTGGTTTTCTGATTTCTCTGAAACTATCGTGTAGTTATTGTCAAGATTTGAAGTCATTAGCTCTTCTTTTACACTTTGTGTACAATCATCAAAAGATATACAAAGATTTGTTCTCTTAAAGCAAATGAATTCTTGTCAAAAGTGTGAATAGTGCAACCTCTTTTATTGGGAGCACTTCGTATAATAGTTGTCAAGCCCCACTGGCATTGTTATACTCTTGTTCTCCACTGACATGAATGTTTTTACAACATTTAGGTCCCTAAACTGAAGGCTTCCAAGAGTAATCAGTTTTGATGGATGGAACAGCATCTATGGAGCGGAGAAATTGACCGTTTAGTCTTGATACAAGTTGACCGCAATTGCTAAACCTTTGTATGTAAAATGCCTTCTTGAGTCTTCCTCCAGAAAGAGAACAAGTCTACAGTTTTGATGGATGCCTACTTAACAAGACTACTAATCTAAAGCTGGAAGACCTTTGGAAGGTTTTGCATAACGTATGAATTGTTAGCTACTAGCAACAATCACTGTCACACCATTAAATCCTGAAATCCAAACATTCTAGTGTCTAGTATCCATACTGCTGGTTAGTATATTACGAGATCAGTAGATTCTTGTGCAGTTGTGCTACCTGAGCATTGATAGAGCTGAGTTATTTTTGCTACGTCATAATCGATTAGGGTTTTCTTTTGGCCTTTTAGTTCAGTTTTACTGTCTCCCCTCAACTTCATGTGTTCTATATGAGATGTTCATGTTAGTTTGATCTGATTCCTTTGTATGTCAGACCTTACGTTGAAAATTGACAAACAATTCTAGGAATCAACTGATGAAAACTTACATGGATTCATGTTGCATAAAATGCACTTGTGGGCTTGAAAATACTGTTTTGATGCATCTTTTGTTTTGATGTTCTTTCTCTTGTTATGTTGTGGTAGGGGACCTAGTTTATAAGCCATGGGTGAAGGAATTCTGTTGAACTGCGCCCTTTTTTTTTGGGGGTCATAGAACTGCACTTTTACTAAACATATTAAGTTGCATTGTTTTCTTCGAATATGAAAACATCTTCAGTGAAATTGATGAACCTTGAATTCCCCGGAGAGGAAATTGAAAATGCATTTGCAATCATGCAGTATATAGATTTGTGGACATATTTGTTGAAAGAATTTGCTGCTGACTGAAAAAGCAATATTGTGCCTTAAAATCTGAAGGTTTCTAACTTTCTATCCACTGCAGGTTAATGGCGGCTTGGAATGGGTGGATGATGAATCAGCCTTGAGTGACCTGAACAACTGGGTCAACCTTGGAGGCACTCAGGAGTGAATATTTGTTTCTGAAGGAGCACACACCTCATTGATGTAAGTCTTGCTGAATCACTTTGGTTGTCTGCTTCTGACCACAGTAGAGCCCCACGATGGAGAGTGGATGTCAATCTCAGTGCTTTTGTTGTGCAGGTCAAAGAAAAGTCAGGGATAAGGGTCCTCCTTCTTTCCAATCACCTCCCTCCCTTTTCTCTTCCTCTCTCTAACATCCCTATTCTTTATCTATTTGGTTACTATAATTATTCCCAAAGTCATGTCCTACCATCTTCGATAACTTGTTTTCTAAACATTACAATTTGTGTGACGTGCTTATTCTCAAGAGATTCTTTTCCCATAACATTTAGTCAAGCTTGATAGTTGAAGTTCTGTAGATTATCAGTTAGGCTGGCATGGTGTGGCCTAAAGTTAAAGTTAGTCTTGAGCCAAGCAGAAGCAAGATGGCTCTGTTTGATAGGGGGGGGGGGGGGGGGGGGGGGGGGCATGCCAGAATAGATTGGTGAAAGCGATGTATCAACTTACATGAACTGATTTTTTTAGGATATGCATTTTAACCTGATTTAATTGAATATTACTCACAGGTAGGTGACACCATTAGCATCAATGTTCCTTTCCTCGTTACCTGTAGAAAGATGGTTTCTTTATGCTTCAGCTTAATCTACTTCATCCCATCATTATGTAGCATGTTAAGTGTGTTTATTAGTTTCACCAATCTACCCTTTTCACCATGACGTTCTTTAAATTTTGGGTCTCTATGAAACAAATAGGTTCCCATTGTATTAATGAGCAAAAGTCCATCAGCTTCACATCTGTGAAAGAGATGCCTACCCAAGAGGTCGTGTGTTATGTGCATGTGTATGTGTGTGCATGTTGGAATAAATTCTCTCTCTCTCTCTCACACACACACACACACACACATTTGTAATGGGAAAGAAAGTCTTGATCGATTAACCTTACCCCAGCTTCTGTTTGTATTTGATAGTCAATTTGGTGGAGGCACGTTATCTGTCGGCAAGGCCGACTGCTCACCAACTAGGAAGGAAAGCTATTCACTCATATGGTATGGTATCATTGTTTACTCCATTCATATTCTTGTTAAAGAGAGTAAAGTATAATCATTGGTATAGGACATAACTTTTTTTTCTTTCCTTCTCTATGAGAATCTTCACACTTTCAATCCCTACTCCATGATTAAACTTCCTTTTATCATATCATACACTTTTTTTTTTGTTTCCACTTTGTACAGGTCTTGATGGTTTTTTGGATCCATAGACCGTCCATGTTAGATACGTGAAACATGATGATATTGAAATTGGAATTGGAATTATTCGTTCCTCGTGGCCCTTCTATCGCATTGTTTCAGCCCTTTTTTGCTGTAGCTGGCTTGCTATTATGAGGTAACAAGAAAATTTGTGTTATTGCTTTATGATATGTCTATCCATCAGGTACCTACAGATTACAGTATCGAAATTCAATAATGACAGATAGATAAAGCAGAAATAGGAAAAGTAAGGAAGTGATTAGAACCATATATGAGATGCAAGATTATTTCCCCCCTCTTCCTCTTTTAAAGTTAGTTTACTCTTTTTACAGTGATGCATGATTAGGTTCAAATAGTGCCTCATCTGCTGCACCGGCCATGACTGGAAAAATCTTCTGGTTGGTAGTTGATGAATAGTTAGTTGGTTCCAGGTTCTATATATGGCCTGCTTTTTATTGCTAGTATAGATTAGGGCTGTTCTAGTATAAACAGAAGAAACCTTTACAGAGGTTAATGTGATTCTTGTTAGGTTAAAACATAGCTCTCAGTTGGTAGGTCCATAAGATGAGTAATTATCTCCAGTAAGAATGATGATTTTATTGAACCTCTCCTCTAATTATAATTTGTTCTTCTTTTTTGTTGTGGCATTTTTCAACTTCCATCATATTCCCCTTCCTTCATCATTGCCCTTTGCCTACGGCTCCAAAGAGGGACATACATCTTTATATCAATTCAAAAGGACACCTTTTCTGGTGTATTTGAATTATTTGGCTGGCCAGTACTCCACAATTTGGTTCAGCATTTTGACTTGAAGGGTTTAAAGGGTTAAACAAAAGCAATTATCAGGGTTGGTTGCTGCCATAATGGAGGTAATTTTCTTGGCTAAGAAGTGTGATGATTACTTCTCTGTTTTCCCCCTCTGTAATATTTTCCCCAGGTCTAAGTATGAAAATTGCACCAATTTAGCATTGATGCTGTATGGTTTCTGGAGTTGCGGTTTAAGATGCTAGGGAGAAAAGAACAATTGTTACCAAGCAATTAAGGATTAGGTGTGGACAGGACCCATTTTACTGTTAACATTTTGCTTTAATTATTGCCTTCTCTGCAGACAGTTGGAATTGGGTAAAATTTTGTATCCAGGGAGGGCACTTTTTGTCAATCATAGATTAGGGTTCTTATCTTGAAGTGTAATAATTCAGCTGAGTTCCTCCCTTTTTTCTCTCACATGTATCTACAGTCTACAACCAGAGTTGTGATGAGACCCTGGAACGGATCGACGGGCTTCTACTCTAGCAGTATCTATCACAGTAGTGCTATCATCTCAAGGTGTTCGGTTCGAGTCTCGTGAAGTCATAAACTCCCTTCCGACGAAAAGAATGAACTCATATGTTCGTATTGACTGATGCAGGGGCCATCTAAGACAGCTACAGATTTGGTTCACTGGAGAAGGTAGAGCCTGGAAAATGAGGTAAAAAAAAAAATCAAATTAAATGATGATGTTCTGTCAATATCAGGAATTTCACGTAGCAGTGCTACCTAGATGTACAAAACCAGACAGTAAATTGCAGAAAGGTAGTTGATTCATGAGGAAAAAGCTTTCGTCCAGCCTTACAGAATGATGATGTTGATGATATGGCGGGGCAGAAACTCTGTAGCCAAACCATCATTGCTTTTGCTTAGACGATTAACTTGCAATTTCCGGGGGCTTCTTTTTTTCTACAGAGTCTATTTTGAAGTCGAGGTTATTTACTGTTTACTGCCCAAGCTGGTGTTAAATCATCGGCTGGATATACAAACAGATCACAAAGTGCTTGTATGTTTATCGCACCAGTTGAGTTTGAATGGATTTTGCTATTGTGGCTGGTTGCAAGGAGCGGTATACGACCTGGTCGCGGATTGTGTTTCATTTTCGTAAAAATTGATAAGGATATGACCACATATTTGGGGATTTTTACAGAAATAGCACTGTCTAAATTTTTTCCCCAAAAATAGCTCCGAACTCCAAAAAATTCCAAAAATAGCACCCTTTCTGCAAAACCGCCACCCGTACCAGCGGTTTAGGCGAAAACCGTCACCCGGGGCACGTTTTTTTATGAAAACCGCACTGGTAGGGGGCGGTTTTGCAAACCGCACCCCCACCATTTTTAGTCATATTTAGTCATCTTATCCCTATGGTGTAAATAAGTCTGTGAAGTTTGAGTATGTGGTAGTTTGTTCAATTCTTTTTTTATCCGAGATGTGTCAATAGAAAAAAGTTACTACTTACTACAGTAAAAACAATTAGTCGGTCTCTATGTTAAGAGGTGGTTCAACTTGGTTTGATGCAGATCGTTTGTAATAAAATTCGAGTTGGAATGGATAACCTCTGAATTAATTTGAGACAGTTTTGATATTCGAATATGAATTGAACTAATTTAGGAAAGATTTTATATTCGAATTTATCACATCCCACTAAGCTCCATCGAAAGCCGCCTCGAAATATCAGCACATTGGTGAGCAGTTTAGAGTACAAATAATGCAAACGCTTAGTAGAGTTTCTGTTCCCATGATTTGTAATTTGATGGTGGACAAAGATTTACTATTGTCATGATTATTGTGATCACATCAAAATGGGACAAAAAAGCAAGATAACGACTATCAAGTCTCAACAAAAACAAAAGTAGCTGAGATCGTAGAATGGTTGTAGTGCTGACGTATCTTATCTGCAGATCACTGTTAGTTCATACTAAGATTCCATTGGATGCGGCTAAACAACAAATAATAAGGTAGTAGTACAGATTTTTGTATATATAATAATGATACCGTACCGGAAATTATAACGATAACGATTTCATCAAAACATCTATTCAAGTTCCAATATCCGATATTTATATTCCGACTGATCAACACGATAGGATTTCTAAAACATTGTTTTGGATATCGTCATGTATAGCAAACAACTAAACTCTGTTGAAAAAACAAACAAATTGTCGACGTTGTCAGGACGTCAGGCCCAAGCTTACAATAGATCCGCATACTCATTACCACACTATTCACATACCCAGAGTTCTTAGTTGGACTGAAAAAACCGTGTGAGGAAAGACTTCTGTTCTGTGCAGTGTAACATTATTTCAGGACATCTCAGTCGGAATCGTTCCCCTGCGCACCGGCAGCTGCCTCCATCATGCCATTGCGGATTTGGTCGCCGATGTCCCTAACGTGACCGGGGCCGTGTGGGATGAACACGGTGGTGTTCTTCGACGAGTTGCCGAGGTCCTTGATCGTGTCAAAGTACTGAGTCACCATGATGAGGTCCATGACTTCCTTGGCGCTAGTGCCGGTCACCTTGTGCGAGAAGTTCAGTATGTTCTCCCTCAGTCCGTCTGTGATCGCCTGCCTCTGCTTCGCCACACCTACGCCTCCGAGGTATTTCGCCTCGGCTTCAGCTTCTGCCTTCTTGACCATGAGAATCTTTTCGGCTTCCCCTTTGTATACGCTTGCAAGTTGAAGCCTTTGAGCTGGAAACAGAAAACATGACCAAGTCTCATCAATTTACACTGAATTTTCCCCCAGGTAAAAGCTTTAACGAGGTAGATGATTGCAGTCTTGTAAGCATCAAATTCTACTGTGTGCTTGGACGGTAATGTAGTTTATAGACATGAACACATGCATAGCAACTTGTTCTAATACTATATAGTCTACATGTACTCATTCTAAGCATCATCCTCCGTTTTAAGAGCCATGAGACCAGAAGCACAAAACATTGGCAGCACGACAGTAGGGTGGGTGAGTAACAAAATGATGATTACATGCATTGATCTCATTCATTCTGAGCTGATAATAGAACCAAGACCAATTGTGTTCCTTTTACAATGATATTTTTTTTGTGGGGGGGGGGGGGGGGGGGGGGGTAGAAAAACCTTACGAGGTAGATGATCGCACTCATGCAACCATAAAATTCTCCAGTGGACTTGGAAGGTATGTATTTTGTGCACATGAACAGATACCGAGATACTTTTTTCTAATACTCCATGATCTATATGATACTCATTCTAATAATTTTCTCCATTTTAAGAACCATGCGGCCAGAAACACAAAACATTGCAGGCATGACAGTAGGGAGGGTGGGTGGGAGTAACATGGGTGGGAGTAACAAAAATGATGTTTACCTGCGTTGATCTCATTCATGGCTTTTCGCACAGAGGGATCGGGTATAATGTCTACCATCAGCATATGCTCAATGTTATACCCATAAGCACTCATCACCTGATTAATCATTGCAACAAACGGGTGACAAGGTGTACTACACGAAACATAAATATGAATGTAGTGAATCCACCAATAGAATTTGAAAACTCGGGCCATCAGAATCAGATCTCTTCAAGTTCAATCCATAATGGATATGGATGCATTCACAATAACCCAAACCAGAACTAATTAGCTAGTACTTAACAAGTTCATGCAATTTAAACGAGGACAGCATCCCAAAGAAGGTTGAGTTGCCATGCCAATTGGAAAACCATTCATTACCTTCTCTAGCTCCTCCAGTACTGATCTAGCAACCTCTCCCTTCTGCTCAAAGAGTTCATCCAACGCCATTCTCGGAACAAGAGCTCGAACCACTGAAATTACAGAGCATGCAATCAATCTAAATCACAGAGTTCACCCATCAAAGTTTCTTCTGGAAAAAAAAAATAGTACAACAAAGTAACCAATACCATCAAACACATAAGCCTGAATCTGCTCTTGAGGATTCGCGAGCTCATAGAACGCATCATCAGCGTTTTCCTTGACGATCCGGTATTGAATTGAGCAAACCAATTGCACAAACACGTTATCCTGCCATCACCACAATTTCATACATCAATATGAAAACCCTAGAACACGCTGATCGTCGTTCAAATCCTAACACCAAGAACTCTCCAAAATTGAAGTTTCAGCTCAATTCCTACTCCATCCAAACACAAGGAATCACTCAGCCGATACTAGTCTCTCACCGATGGGCACAAAAGCACGCAGGATCAGAGTTGTATTGAGCAAACCTTGGTTTTGGTTTCGATGCGAACGTCGAGCGACTTGATCCTGGTGGAGAGAATTCCGGCGAGGCACTGGCCGGCGAAGGGGTTGAAGAGGTGAAGCCCTGGCTCGGCCAATCGCTCGAAGCGGCCCCATCGCTCCACCACGCCGATGCTGGCTTGGTCCACGCAACCGCAGAGGAGACAGTACGCGTTCCCCATTACTGAATCAAAGAAAATTCGAGTCGAGAAATCTTGTTCGCTTTGCCCTTTCGTTCCTGGTTTGGCCGCTCCTGGTTAAGAATGATACGCGGTATCGTGAATTGGGAAGGACACGACTACGAGGATACGACCACAGTATGCTAATTGTAATTAAACTCTAATTTCGATATAAAATTATTTATTGATAGTGACCACCGCCTTGAAATAAACGAGAGGAAAATGAGCCGGGCCGTATTCAGTTAGCCCGCAAACTATAAGGTGATTGTGCCCGCGGTTATTTGAAGGACAGGCCTGATGTAGTCTTAAAGATGAGCCCATTTCATAATGAGACAACATAATGTGCATGTTTTAGCCCAATGCAGAATAGGCCTGGGCCCTGGAGGCTAGGGGTGGGCATTGGGTGGGTCGGGTGAATTTTGATCATAAAATGCACCCACCCGCGCTTAAACGGATTGATAATTTTCAACCCACCACCCACCCACATTTAGTCTCGGGTTGGGTTGGGCGGATGGTGGATGATGCGGGTGGGTTTGTGGGTTCACCCACATCACAATGTATATAATATAAAGGAGTCAACTTGACATGATAATAGGTGAAGAGAATCATCGAAGGAAACAAGAAGTTGAAAGAGTTTTCTACAGATTGAGACGATTATTAGGTGCAAGGAAGTAAGGAAAATTATTCCACAAAGGAAAGAGCGGTGATCTAGGCACAAGAATTAGAGGAAAAAGTAAAGGGAAGAAGAGGAGATCTCTATTTGGAAGGTTGGCTTTGAGGTTCAAACTCCAGAAGCAGTCCGACGTTATATCTAACGTCTCCACTCTCCTCTCTCTAGCGCCAACGACTTTGATCTTTTTGCTGTTGGGTTGAGCGGGTCACCCGCACACTCACCCACAACCCACCCACCACCCGGCGGATGGCTCCCAGCACAACCCGTCACCCACCCACAGACCCACCCACTTAACAAAATTCGGGTCAAATGCGGGTGGGTCGGCCCAAACCCGCGGATGATCCGCCCGCAAGCCCAGCCCTACTGGAGGCTCAATATTTTTCCTTAAAAACATCTTTCACTTGATGAGGTTGGATAGGCTAGGTTCGCTGCTTTTGCAGAAACAGTTTATGCGTTAGCTTTCAGAGAAACTAGCTTATTACCCGGCCAATTGGACGTATTACTTTTTGTTACCAACTTGTGAAATGGGAGAGAAAGCAAGTGAGAGTGAAGGGATTGGGATTCCACTTGATTAGGACCGACCCACTAATCCGATTCATCTCGATCCGCCCCAACCTAAAGGGTCAGAAAGAGTCCATAAGAAAATACAAACGGAGAGGATTAGTCATATATCTTGACCCTTCAGAAGTGGGTCAAAAGGGATCAAGGTTGGGTGAGGGCATTTTTTAGCACTAAGCAGAGTTCTGAGTTGAATAACTTTACTTGGGCCTAGAAATTGGTGCCGGTGCAGAGTGCAGTTTTTATCATACCATCATCAATCATCATTGAATTGGTCTTGGGCATCCCTCCCCGTTGTCGATCTGAATTCTAATGATGGCTTCGTTCCTTGCACCAGCCATATCAACGAGTTGTCATCTCGAGCATGATTTGCCTATGTACAAATGATACAATTAGAGTATGAAAATGAATTCAAAGAAAAGGAAAAGAGAATTCTATCACATGCCAATAAATGTACACATAATAGTTGAAGCTAAGTGAAAGTCATTACTCACACATCAATTTTCAAAATTACAGACTAAACAATGGGTAGAATGGCACTGAAACTACCAAGAATCATGGACGAAACAACTTGTCAAATTAAATAATCCTTATACTGAAACTACCTTCTAACTTGAAATAAGACATGATCGCAGTTCATAGCTCTCTTCTCACTATGAGTTGGTTGCAACTCGTCCTTATCACTACCCCCAAGCTCAATTCAAACAGAATAGAGACTGTTATGTAAGATAAACATATCCTTACTGATCATAATTCTTTTCTTCACTCCATTTTTGTCGGAGAAAAGAGTTATCCCCCTCTCCTGCATTTCCCTTTCCCCCTCTCTTCTCCCTCTTCTTCACAAACCGATCCCTAAACTAGCAACAACAACACAAAAATAGCCTTCACCTCTGCCATCTCCATCTACTGAATGCGTTGGTGGCAAGACAGGAGTGCAGAAGCAAAATTTTCTAAAATCAAACTAAATTTTTTGAAGGATACTCAACCACGAAAAAAGAGTAAAGCAACAATGCTAATAGTTCAGATGGTTGGTTTTGATGTTATACGTTGCTTTTGTTCTGGTCTCCAGTATATCAACTGCAACAGAGATGTTTCCTCCAATCATCTTTATTGCACGATTTAGAAGCAAGTCCTCCTGTTTGTGTCAAACGGAAACATTCATGGGTTCTTAACTCCCTGTTAGTGTAAAAGCAGCAGCAACAAAGAAGTTTGACAACACAGCAAGCACCTAGGCAAAATAACACATGCAGTAGGTGATATGTGTCTCGAAGGTTTTGAGTTACTAAAGTTCATGTTAAAAATAAACATGAATCAAAATGGATTATTCTATTAAGCAAACATCCCCTCTAACCATACAAAGATCAGATATCCAATTCACAAACAATTAAGCCATAAAAAATCATCACACATCCAACACCTTTGATTGCCTAAATTTGGTTTTTTGCAAAGTTATGAGCTCTTAAGGGTAACGTTCATGGGTAGTCTGTTTCATAACTCTAGAGAGCACAGTAAGCAACCACCAGCCAGACACAATGCGGTAGGCAAATATGAATCTCAATTCACAATTTCTCACCACTGGAAGTAAGAACAGACCATAATAAGCGTAGCGTTCATGGGTGGTCTGTTTCATAGCACTACTACACAATTTGTTAAAAAAGAAATAAAGGTATTTAGCATCACGACGGAACAACTTTTACAGGCCAACAACGACAACATGCTGCAACCACCAGAACTAGTATCACAACTCATAGGGAAAATCAAAAGATTTACTCTCAAATTAAGCAGTTACAACATCGAGCAATCGTCAAGCACATACACCATCACAAAAGTCATGGAACCTGATGCACAAAGCATTCAAACATTTGAGGACATTTCTGCAAAGGTACAACTTATATGTCTTCTTTCCAAGTCATTTCCATCAACATGCTAATAAATTTGCAATGCATAAAACAAACGGATCAACAAACCGTCACCTCCATTATTGATTCAATTAGTATGTAATCATTTTCATTCTATTTTAATATGCATCTCTATTCAATTTCATAACATATTACACCAGCTTAACAAAGCTCAAGGCCCATCAAAGGACAGAGCAAATACCAACACCAGCCAAACACAGCTTCAAGCAGTTGCAACCACAAATGCAAACCAGATGACCAAAATGGAAGAAGTGCCAGAAACAATGGATAAAGCAAAGCACCCTATGCACCTACTTACTTGGAGTTACTTTGCCAGTTTTCCAAACGACAACTAATTTTAAAAGTACGCCCGGTGTTAAAAGTTAAAACATGCCAATTTTAATTTATGAAAATTTTTCCTACTTACTTGGAGTTACTTTGCCAGTTTTTCTATCTTACTATTGATAGCAAGAATGGAAGTAGGGAAATGTCAGTAGAATGAACATTAAACATCTCCGTAGTTTGTCCATGTTTATTATATAGAGTCACTATAGATTGATTAAGACATTAAATCACCAATTTATTAAAGAAAACATTTCGAAAGAACTAAACGACATTTTGAAACCAATAAAGAGCACAGGAAATAGTGGCACGTGAAGAACAGCTCATGGAAATAATTAAGGATGAGCTGATTTTCATTTTCATGAGCTAAGCAAGTCATCTATGAAATTATTTCTCCAATCGATGCAAACAAACACATAGAGAGCATAAAAATAATGGAGCGGTTGATTTACTTTATGATAGTTTTTTTTTTCAAAGAGAAGAGGATAACCAAATAGAAACTATTTCCATTACATAAATCAATTCATAAAGGCATGATTGGAGACACATTGTTGTAGGCATGGTAATTTAGAAGCTTTAAGAGGTAGTGCAATGACCAAATAAAAATATGCAACACAATAACAGAGCAAAAAATAGAAGTTTGAAGAGTTTTTGGGTTATTTCTAGCCAAGGTGTTTGGGATAATTGCCCATCTAACTTTATTTATTATGTTATGTGATTCAAGAAAATACCTTTGAAACATCCATCATTTTGGAGCTTCTTCCTTTTGCTTTTCAGTCCACCTGGAAATGCCTATTTTTGGCGCCCAAAAATGAGTTAATACCGCCTCTACCTGAGTTGGGCGTTGCGTCTGCTGCCAATAGCTATGATTCCCACTTCTCAGAGCTGCTATCGGGAAGCCTTTGAACATAAACCTTTTGATTTTTGTATTTGGATGAGCCTTTGACAGGAGTAACAATTAACAGGATGTGAAAATTTGAGACCACTGCGGGGTACAAAAACTTATTCAAATTATATGGCAGGGAAACAACTAACACGGGCTTGTTGACCTTGCAAAACTAATATGTTCAGAAAAACAGGCAGGGGACAAATGTTTGGATGAATTGAGTACTCAAAATTGTTTAGATATGATTCCCATGATATACATGATTACCCAAGCGAGCCCTCAAAACGCATCAAGAAGCAAAAGAGGCAAACCTAGAAAAAGGAAAATAACTACCTAATGTTCTCTTTTCTTCAGCCAGTTCATCTTTTCTTCAGTCTGCCCGTATGAATCTTATTCACTCTCTTGTTGTCCTTGCAAAACTATAATTTGTTCAGAAAACACACACTTGTTTAGATCTGATGCCCTTGATATACATGGATTCCCCAAGCTAGCCCGCAAAATATATCAAAAAGCAAAAGAGATACATGGAAAAGGAAAATAACCACCTAATGTTCTTCATCTTTAATCAGCTGTAATCAGGTAAAGCATAGGGGATGAAGAATGTTTTCTGAACCCAAAACTAATTAAAAGCAAACAGATAGGAACCTGCGAAACGCAAACAACAAACCTGAATTGCTTCCCTCGAAATTACAACAAACAACCGGTCCATATTACTTTCTTTTCTTCAACAGAAAACAAACTAACGTCCGGACAATTGAGAAATGCAGTAATTGATGACTG